AGCTGCTGTTCTCAGGGGCTGCGGAGCTGGGAGCCCTCGGGCCAGAGGGCACACGTACTGAGCAGATGCTGGGACCCCTCGGGGCAGAAGTTGAGTCTGTGCAGGTCGTTGATGGAGTCCACAACGTACAGCTTCCTGTCCTCGGGGACGGGGATGCTGCGGGAGCCCGAGTCCCGGGGAGAGCGGTGCATGGTCCCTGGAAGAAAGCACCGCATCAGCCGCGAGCTGGAGGCTGGCCTAGCGCGTGGATGGAGAGTGGCAGCCCGCGGGCAGCAGATAAGCCGGCAGAACCCCCCCCACACACATAGTATTTCCAGCGGCAGGTCTGGGGAAGCCGTGCTTGTCCAGGGAAAATGTTTCCTTTGGGGACACTTTTGTACTGTCCTTTGCCCACCAGGAGGCTGGGAGGCTGGTGTGCAATGAGCGCCTCCTATACCCTGTGTATCTGCAAGCCCTCTCCTCCTCCTCCGGTTTCCCCATCCTGCCTGTATTTTTCCTGCCCCCCCTTTATTTTGTAATCTTTATATATAAAAGCCTAAGCGACCATTCGACCATTCAACCATTCGACCAGTAGCTAGGATGTGCACTGACCACCAGGGGGCAGACGCTCAACGCACAGGCATGGAAACATGGGACAGACGGATGAATCTCAGAGGGAAGGAGGAAGGGGGGAGGGCGGAAAGAGATTAACCAAAGATCTTATATGCACACTAGAGGCCCAGTGGGGGTCCCTTGGCCTGGCCTGCGGGGGATCGGGCGAAACTGGCAGGCCGACATCCCCCAAGGGGTCCCGGATAGTGAGAGGCCGCAGGAAGCGCAAGGGTAACAATTGGTGGCTCTGAGGCCCCTTTGTTCGAGATCATCGCTCCATGCACTGGGCCTTTAGTTGATTATAAAATATTCCCCTTTCATCACACTGTTCACATTCTGGCGAGATGACTCAAATCCTTTGTGTACAAAGATTATGTCTGAACATCGGGGAAGAGCAAAGGCAGCTCATCGGAAGAGGAGAAAAGGACCGTAAACCTTTCTAATCGCAGAGGTTTCCACACGGGCGTCATGTTCATGTTCTCCCTCAGGACAGCATCTGAGTCTCCACCTAAAACGTGCTCCTTTTTTCCTTCTTATTGAATGTATCGGGGCGACACCGGCTAACACAGTTATACAGGGTCAGGTGCTCAATTCCACAGCACGTCACCTGGGCACTGGCTTGCGTGTTCGCCACCCCGAGTCAAGTCTCCCTCCATCACCGCTTATCTCCCCATACCTTCCTGCACCTCCCCCGCCCCCCGCCCCCCAGC